ATCCAGCCCAACAGGTCCAGGTGTGGCCAGGTTTGCTGTGCCAGCGCTGAGCTGTGCCAAGGATGGTCACAACAGCAGCCTACACGCTGTGCCATGTGTACACGGCACATGGGGCAGGGTGGCTGCTCCATCACACAGGGGTTACAGAAAGCAGGGCAGAGCTGCTTTGGCAGTTGATGCAGCGGTTCTCTACATCTGAATGGGCACCTGGTTTGCTTCAAGCAGTGAACTGATGTATTTAGGGCAGTGGTTTGTACAGACACCTGCAGCCTTTGTTCTACATGGAAATGGCTTGTTTGGTCCATGGGTGTTCCCTCCCCTGGCTCGTGGCACTTCCTTCCCAACCTGTGTGGGTGATCCATCATGGATCATGGTTGGTTCATGTTGTGTGGGGATGAGCTGCTCTCATCAGGAAAAGAGGAAGGTTGAGGATGAGCAGACCCCAAAGCTCAGCAGATAGGTGGAGGGGCAGCATGTCTCTATCAGCTGCTGCATGACACCAAGAAAATGTTAATTAAGGTGAAGAAAATGGATATTTTAGCTCAAAACTGGTAAGGAAAACGATGAGTCATGGCCACTGAATATCAGCTCCTCCTGACAGGAAATCTGATATTGTCTTAATCTTCACCTGAGCCTAATAATGGCCCCGAGGTCACATGGGATTGTCAGGCTCTGCAGTGCTCATGCACAGCATCTCCTCAACAAAATTCTTCAGGGAGCAAACAGAGCTCAGGACTTGACAATACAGGAGTGAAGAAGAGCACTTAGGTTTTGTTCCCTTGAGATGCAACAGCATGTAGGAAATATTGAGCCAAAGCAGAAGAGGAAGGATTTTGTTAAAAATCCAAGTGCTGTTTGGCAGATGCATTGTAATGGGTCTGTTTCCTACCTATCCATTTTAAATTATGATCTTTTTTACTTTTTTTGTTGCTGTTTACCATAATTATTCCTCCCAGCAGGACACACAGTTCTCAATCCAAGTCATGTTTTTATTTAGGTATATTATCAGAGGGTAAATTCAGCTGGAAACTGTTAAAATTCTCAGTAGTTGTAAGTAACTGTAAGTAACCCTTGAAGTTTAACTATGAAAATGTAGCACAAATGAATTGCCTGGGCTGCTATTGGCCATTCCTGGGGTAAGGCTGTAAGACACCAAGTTTTGCACAAAAAAAACCCAGTATTTCTCATTTAGAATTATTGCTTTCAGTGTTGGAACTAAATGATCTTTGAGGACCTCTTCAACCCAACCATTCTGTCATTCTATGATCTTAAAGGGCCCTTTCAACCCGATCATCCTATGGTTCTGTGATATATAAGGACCCTTCTAACCCAGCAATCCATTGGTTATGTGATCTTTAAGGACCCTTCCAGCCCAACCATTCCTTAATTCTATGATTCTGTTCCTGGAGAATACTGTGTCTACTTCTGGGAAAAGGCCTTCATCTGGTCGCTGAGCACCCCAAAACTTGCTCATTTTTTTTGATACCAACTGGTCTGATGGCAGCTCTCCCTACTCTCCCTTAGCTCTCCCTACAAACCCTTCATTTAGGAGACCTTCCCAGGGGAAGATCACAAAGCCCTGACCACACAGCCACTGTGCAACTGAAGGGTGCCCAGAGTGGCTTTCCTCCAGCGTCTTTGGAAGGAAGAGGATCATTCTGGAGACACAAGACAAAGCTGAAGACTTGATGCTCTCAGGACTTGGCTCCCAAATGCTTTTTGACACATCCATGGCCATTATATCTGCACCAGTACGTGCTGGGGCTGGAAAAGTAAAGAAGGCCCTGCACAGAGATGGCAAGAGAACGGAGGGGGGGATCAGAGTGATGCTCAGTGTGAGAATCTGGGCAAGAACATCTTGGTTTAATTGATGGGTGTTTACACCTCTCAGAGCTTCTTCTTTTTCATTTACATCTCTGTTGATTAAAGTCAAGATCAATACAGTTTTTTTTTTTCTTTCCTTTTTCTGTTTTCAAACACACAGTCTCAGCTTTGTGAACCAAAGACTGTTAGCAAGAAGACACAACCTCACCACCCTCCCTGTCCATGCAGCCCTTTGGAAGCAATGCTTACAAGAAAAAAAGGAGAAAAGGAAACTAAGGCAGAAAATTCTTTGCACATTCTAGCATGTGTGAAGCAAGGTGAGCCACCCCCAGGCCAATTCAACAGCAGGACGATATCAAGACCTCATGTCGCATAAAATGAGATGCCAAAGGAGGTGGGGAAATTCAAGAGAAATCAAACCATGCTAAGGTGCATGGATAACTGTGCTAACTGTAATTAATGATGGAGGGGCAAGCTAATTAGATAAGGAAATCTCATCTGAGCAAAGCTGATGAGTCAAGCAGGATTTGTTGGAGTTTCATAACTCCTTCATTGGTGTGTGATGTTTACTCTATCTCCTGCTCAAGTGCCCAATAATTGCTGCTTGATGATACAAACCAATAATAACATTAACAGAGCTGATAATTACCACGGAATGGAGACGAACTTCTCCGAACATATAAAGGAGAACTTCTGTTACCCCCAGCAGAGGAGCTGAGGATCTTGCACTCTCATTTCTCCTCCTGTTTTACAGCCTTCCCCATCTGCTCTCATCTTAACTCTCTGAAGCATCGCTATGAGCCACCATTTCTTCAGATTTGGCGATGGGAATTTCAGCTCTTCTTCTGCTCACTGTGGCACACTGGGGAGCGGGAGAGGCTCCTCTGCCATGAGCCATTGGGAAGACGATAGAGGACAAAGATTTGGTGGTTATGGCTATGGCTATGGCTATGGCTACGGCAGCAGGAGCCTCCACAACCTCAGTGGGTTTAGGAACTTTTCTACTGGTGGAATCTATGAAGGAGATGGAGGAGGGTACAGAAGGCACTGGGGGTACTATGATGGGAGATACCTGGACAGGGACTTAGGGAGAAGAGGGTATTTTGTAGGGGATTTTCAAGGTGGGGAAGGTAGGACGTATGGAGGAGGCTCAAGCAGGGGAACGCTCAGTGGAGGCCTTCGTGAGCAAGGGACTGGGCAGGGCTTGAGACACGCTGCTGCTGGTGGAGGCATCAAGGAGGTCCATGTCAACACCAACCTGCTGAGGCCAGCACAAGTGCAAGTTGACCCTGAGTTCCAGAGAATGCGGTCAGATGAGAAAGAGCAGATTAAGACACTCAACAACAAATTCGCATCGTTCATTGATAAGGTGAGTCCCTGTTCTTTCTTTACTTGTCATGGAGTGGGAAACACCAGAGGTGCTTCTTATGGGTCCAACCAGTGCATCTGGTTCTCCTCTGCAACCTCATCCTCTGCCCCAAAATCTCTGCACTGTCTGGATTCCCTTCTGCCTTAATGGCTTACTACAAACGCTGTTGTGTGAATCATGTTTAGCTGTGGAATAGGAATCTCTGTGTCGTGTCTTGTGGCAGGACAGTAACGAACTACAGCATTGTTGCCAACATATCAGCTCATTTGACTTTTGAGGAAATGGGTTTGTGATACTCCAGGGCCTAAGAATTGTTTGTGCTAGCAAGAGAAACAGAGGGTGGACTTGAGCATCCTTGAGGTTTTCTGTTTCTTTTTCTCAAGCCGAGCAAAACGTTTCATTTCTCCCAACCATAAAACATGGACTTATTTGCTTGGAGATTTTCCAGATGCCCCCCACATCATTCTTTACCTCTTTCCTTAGTCTATATTCAGAACTTCCACCTCTGTGTGATTTTACCTTCTCAGTCATTCCTACACACATGCACAGGGGAAAAACAGCCTGAAGAACACTTCCACCCACACAGACAAAGGCGTGTGCCTTTGTTTGGGTGTTCACGTGTGTCTGCATAGGGTGGCAGCTGGTGCCATTTGTTACACATGAAGACATAAGAGCCTCTTGTATTACCGTACAGAAAAGGTGTCGGTTACACCCAGCTGTTTTAACCATGCTTAATCCTAAAAAATGGGGTCGCTTTGACTCTTTCTTCTTTATTTTAAACCTTTTGCATGAGAGCTGCCAGCAGACAGTCTTGTTCATTGTCCCTACACTGTTGTCAGTGCTTCCCAGTGGCTGAGGTGCTCCTGTGTTTTGCCTTCCAGGTTCAATGCCTGGAGAGGCAGAACCAGGCTCTGATGACCAAATGGGAACTGCTGCAGCAGCAAAGCTCCCAGCCGGAGGAGAGCAGAAGCATCACCTCCTTCTTCCAGTCCTACATCAATAACCTGCAGAGGCAGCTGGACATGCTGCGGAGCCAGAAGGAGCAGCTGGATCCAGAAGCCTATGAAATACTTCAGCTTGTTGAAGATTACAAAAAGAGGTGAATAGTCACTAAACCAGGACAAGGCATACTGTAGAGCTGGAGTTTTCCCAGGCAGTGGTATCATGCTTTGGGATGGCATGGCTTTCTGGTCTCCACGCATGCTGTAGACTTGAGAACACTGCTCCGTGGTAGGCTTGTTTGGGGCTTTTGGAGCTGAAGTTGAAAGAAAGTTCAACATGTCCACTGTTCGGATGATTCTCTTTTGTTTAAGATCCATTTGGCTGAAGAATTCAGATAGGCAATTAGCTACCTGTTTCTTCTCTCTGCTACAGATTTGAGGACGAAATCAATGAGCACGCATCTAAAGAAGAGGAATATGTGGAGCTTAAAAAGGTGAAGTAACTCAAGACACTGGGTTAAACCAAAGCCGTGGAAATAAAACAGTAACTGGTTGGTTGTTGAAGTTTTCAGAAATAGGGATTAACCTCACTTCCTTTTTCTAGAGACAGAATGGAGAGAAATCACTTCTTCCAGTGAATGTCTTTGTTCTGTGTAAGATGTGTATTTAAAAGTCTCTGTCTGTTTCCATTCACTGAAGCCGAGAGGAGAGATTGTTATTAAGGTCTGAAGTTGAGGAAAATAAATCTAGCACAAAGATCTGTGTGCTCCAGGAATGAAAGACTGAAATCAAGCTTTGTATGATCTGTGATTCAGAAAGGAGTTGGCCATCAAAAGAACATAAATAAGTGTTGGTTTCTTTCACAGGAATTGGACAGTGCCTACATGAGAAAAATGGAGTTTGAAGTTCGGGTGGAAATTCTGAAGCAGGAGCTTGAGTTCCTCAGATGCTTATATGAGGCGGTGAGTACGTTTCTTGGGTCAGGAGCACAGACACCCTTTGGAAGCTGCAGGAAAATTCTCCTGAGCAGGACTTGGTGTGCAGGGTGGTGCTGTAGGTGGAACCACCCCTGATTTAATAATGTTGTGGGTTTTTTTAATCTGTCAATGAAAAAAGGGGCTGGAAGAGACATGGGAAAACTGAAACTGGGGATGGAGCAGCAGGACTTGAGGGAGGCTGGGATATTCCAGCGGGTAACTGGCCAGAAGGTCCAATTTCAGTCTTCATGACAGGACCCAAACTGCTTGTCTGAACTGCAAAAATCCAAAAATCTTGTTTTCCTTGCAGGAGCTGTCCCAGCTGCAAACAGTAGTTGACAACACCAATGTCATTCTGTCCATGGACAATGGCAGAGAAGTGAACATGGACGGCATCATTGAAGAAGTCCGGCAGGAGTATGAGAGAATTGCTCAGAAAGGCAAAGATGAAGTCAATGCCATGTACCAAGGCAGGGTGAGTAGACATATCACAGAATCACAGAATCACAGAATCACAGAATCACCTGGGTTGGAAGGGACCTCAAGGATCATGTAGTTCCAACCCCCCTGCCTAACAGGGCCACCAAACACACACATTCAGATCAGGTTGCCCAGGACCCCGTACAACCTGGCCTTGAACACGTCCGAGGACGGGGCATCCACAACCTCCCTGGGCAGCCCGTTCCAGGGCCTAACCACTCTCCTTGTAAAGAACTTCCCCCTAACATCCAACCTAAATCTTCCCTCCCTCAACTTAAAACCATTTCCCCTAGTCCTGCTGTTGTCAGCCCTTTTGAAGAGTTTACTACCTTCCTGGGTGTAGGTTCCCTTCAGGTATTGATAGGCTGCAATGAGGTCACCCCGCAGCCTTCTCTTCTCCAGGCTGAACAAGCCCAACTCCCTCAGCCTGTCCTCATAGGGGAGGTGCTCCAGCCCCCTGATCATCTTAGTCGCCCTCCTCTGGACCCTTTCCAAAATCTCAATGTCTTTCTTGTACTGAGGGCTCCACACCTGGACACAGGACTCCAGATGGGGCTTCAGAAGAGCCGAGTAGAGAGGGACAATCACCTCCCTGTCCCTTCTGACCACCCCTCTCCTGATGGAGCCCAGGATCCCATTTGCCTTTCGAGCTGCCAGAGCGCACTGCTGGCTCATGTTAAGTCTCTCGTCCATCAGGACCCCCAGGTCCTTCTCTGCCAAGCTGCTCTCAAGGACCACTCCTCCCAGCCTGTACGGGTGCCTGGGGTTCTTCCGGCCCAAATGCAAAACCTTGCACTTTGCCGTGTTGAACCTCATTAGGTTCACCCGAGCCCAGCCCTCCAGCCTTTCGAGGTCCCTCTGAATGGCATCCCTTCCTTCCACCGTATCAACTGCACCACTCAGCTTGGTGTCGTCAGCAAACTTGCTGAGGGTGCACTCAATTCCCTCATTGATGTCATTAATAAAGATGTTAAAGAGCACCGGTCCCAAGACAGACCCTTGGGGGACACCACTTGTTACCGGCCTCCACCTGGACACAGAGCCATTGACCACCACCCTCTGTCTGCGGCCTTTCAACCAATTGCTTATCCATCGGGTCGTCCACCCATCAAATCCACTTCCCTCCAATTTGGAGATGAGGATGTGGTGGGGGACCATGTCAAAGGCCTTGCTCAGGTCCAGGTAAATGACATCGGTCGCCTTCCCTTTGTCCACCAATGCCGTCTCTCCCTCATAGAAGGCCACAAGATTAGTTAGGCATGACCTTCCTTTGGTGAAGTCGTGCTGGCTGTCTCGGACCCACAACCCTGAGATTAAGAGTCTCATGCTCTACCGACTGAGCTAGACTCATATGAATGAGTCTCCCTTACTTAGGGTTAATTGATCCAGAAACCAACATGTCCATTCTCTTCTCTCTACCCATCAGTACCAGGACCTTCAGAACATGTGGGTGAATCAGCGAGAGCAACTGAGAAACAGTTACCAGGAAATCCAAGAACTTACCAGGCAGATCCAAAGATTGCAGCCGGAAATTGAAATAGTCAGGAAAGAGGTAAAGATGATACATCCCAACAAGACTAAACTATTCTTGCCACTCTTACATGGAGAGAAAGTGGAGAATAATGTAGCCTGCCGTTTGGAGGCAAAGCTAAAGATGATATTTTCAAAATGAAGAAAATTTGAATTTGGAGTGCCTACTGGGATTTAATTTCAATTGATTTACCCAGTCTAATGTTGTATCTTCTAAGCTTTGTCATTGCGGTCTTTTAATTTCCAAGAAAAATGAGGAGGGCTTGAAAATCCCAGTCCCACTGGAAGAAAAGGGACAAATTCTATTTGTGCCCTCTGCAGAATGACAGACACCAAGAGGCTATCAGAGATGCTGAGCAGCGTGGGAGCTCTGCAGTCAAAGACGGACAGAAAAAGCTTCAGGAGCTGGAGAACGCTTTGCAGCAGGCCAGGGAAGACCTGGGTCGAATTCTGCATGATTATCAGGAGCTTCTGAATGCAAAATTGGCCCTGGATGTTGAAATTGCCATGTACAGGTCACTGCTTGAGGAGGAGGAGACCAGGTAGGCACAGACTGCTCATCACAAGTAGCAGCAACCTATCCCATGCTACGATCCATCACTTGGATCTTAGATGAGTTCCTACCTGGAAGGGTCGAAATCTTTGTTTGCCTATTGATACCTAGGATTATTTTCATGTTTGGTGGTTCCATCTTCTCAATGTCACTTTTTGTTCACAGGATACAGGAAGGTGTGCCAGCTACTGTCCGTAAGTATCTTCAAGTTTCGGAGTTCTTAAAGGCACTGTTAGTATTTTGCTTGCAGTATGCTTAACACCTACTGCCAGAACGATGCCATGTAATTCTAGATTAGTTTCCTAGGAAAAACAAACAAGTGGCACTCCCTCATGAGTGGGAAAGTGCATGTATATGTGCATGTAAATATCAACATATGTCAACCTTGATTTTAAATTTATTGGTCAAATTCTACCAAGTTCAGCCAAACACATAGGAAATAAGGAGAGCTCAATATGTCCATGTAGTGAATGTAAAAAGTAATTGAAATAGTCCTAAAAAATTTCTGTAAGTAGAAAATCAACTGAAGGAGAGATCAACCAGGGCTCACTCATGATCTTTCCAGAAGACCCAGACACGCCGACATGAAAGCTAATATGCAACTTATGATTACGGAAGTCAATGCTAGAAGAATAAGTTTGATATGTATTTACTTCTTGCAGGTGTTGTTACACACAGTGCAAGCAGTGGAAGTGGCTTTGGAAGAGAACATGGTGACTTCAACAGAGGCAAGGAAGAGATGAGCTCTGATGATAGCAACAGGACAATATGGACAGAGACAAGACCTGGAGGGGGAAGTGACAGTGGAGGACAAAGTGATACGGGATCAACACATGGCAGTAGAAGAGAAGCAGGAAGAGAAGAAAGGCAATATCATACTGGAAGGAGCTCAGGGTCGGGATCTGGATCTGGGCATGCATCAGGAGGGAGAATTAGCACAGGAGGATCCTCATACAGAGGTGGCCACAGCTCTGGAGGCTTTGGGTCGAGCTCCGGCAGTGGCCGAAGCAGTCCTCACGGTGG